CAATACACGAGCGCCTTGTCAAAGATTGTTCAACCAACTCTTGATAGTAATGACAAGCATGTTCAAGTAATTTTTTTAAATAATCTTTACACGATTCATCATCGAACATTGTTCTCCAGATTTCTGTTAACGTTATTAAATAGTGCTTTGTTGCCAATTGAATTTCTTCAATATCGCTATTATGTTTGTTCGACATAATTTTAGGTTTTTCTTTAGGTTTCTTTCTTTTTCTTTTTAGGTTTTTTTAAATAAATGAAAATTTTTATGCTCTCCACCAAATTAAAATTACGCTTCAAAAGTGATCAAAACGCTGAATGATGATTGAGTGATAAGCGCGTAATACTATGCCTGAATTATTTGTGATCATTGCGACTAACGGTAAAATCTGTATTCATGTGGAGTATAGATCATGAAAAGTAAATAAAAAATGTTCTCTCTATAAACGCTAACCTTTTACTTTTCTCTTAGAAATGTTCTGCCGCCACCTGATCATTCAAAGGTTCCTATAAATGATCTAATATACCCTATGGACAACTGCTTAAATAGTTTCGATATTATGACGTATTTATGATTGATTATTTCGTCTCTTTATTTTTTTATTCGAAATGTTAAATTTTATTACATTGTAACACAATGATCTGATATGAAAAAGTTTTGTAACATGGGCGTTAGTATAAGCGGTGTAAGTACTCTTGCAGAACGAGAGCGAGAGATTTAGACATGATTATAACATGATCTAAAGAAAAGAAAACAGTACGAGAGGTGCAGGCGGGAGAGAATATGTATGTATTGAATAGGATGATTCAAATGATTTAGATATATATTATCGAATATTTTGGTACTTTATCTGAAATGAATTAACGTATGAGAAAGTACTCTTCCACGAATTAAATCTGTGCTATATTTGCCTGCGTTTTTACCGGCACTATCAGGTATAAAAATTGTATGGTGGCTTAAACAACAACAACAAGAGAATTTATTATCTGCGAGATTTAACATATCTTTATTTGGACAAGTATTGGACTGAGTCGGGGATCAGTAGCGATATACTAAAAGAAGTCCATCAAAGCAAAATAAATATATATGTATATATTTAGTGAGAGGTGCTACGCCTCCAAGAAAACTGTAAGTATTCAAGGATGGTCCCTGTACTTGTACCACCTTTTCTATAAATTTACACAAAACCTAACCCATCTTTTACTTCTTTTCGATTCGTATCATAAAATTATGATTGTCAAGCACTAGTTTAATTAAAAAAAAGAAAAAAAAAAACCAGAGAACTTTAAAGGTTACGAGACAAAAATCTGGAATAATAAACTTTCATCAATAGCAAAAGACAGTCCATGAGTTGGCCCCCAACAACTGAACTTCTTTTCGTTCAAGAACAAATAACTCGAACTGAATGTAATTTCTTGCTGCTTAATAATGGGTCACTTTTAATCTCTCAGGGATTATGTGTTATGAATATGTTTTACGCTACTTGTGAAATTGTGTATGCTAAGCTTATGCGCATATGTATATGTAATACTTAGAAGCACTTGAAATAGAGCCACCGTTTCTTATATCGACCGTATGAAAATTGAATTTATTGAATTGTTGTAAGCTTTTCTGTCTGTCCGCAACGTGTGTTGTGTTCAGACTTTCAATAATTTTTGAGATATCCTAGCAAAGTTCAGAACATTTTGGCGCATTTTGATGCGTGGATGATGCTCACTGATAATAGATTTCGATTATACGATCGCTATCCGCATGATGTGTTACTTTGAAAAAGTCATTATGTGAAACAAATACACAATTTTCAAAAGTTCTTAACAAAAATCGCTTAATAATATAAATTTCGTATATCATGTAGATTTGAAAAATTTCAATAGCCTAGACTAATGTTTTAAGCTGCCTGCGATATAACCGTTCCTATGAAAAGTCGTCTTTTATACATTTAAGCAAAAAGATTTTAATTCGATTGTAAGATTTAATTTAGTCCCCAGAATAATAGTCACGCAGCATAAAAATGAGTTATATGCAAATTTGGACGAAGCAGGTTTATCTTTTGAAGCCAATATCATATCAATAAATAGCAGCGGAACGTAATTTGTAGTACTTGAACTTTGGCTAAATTTGATCTATGAGAAGTTTATCTTTGCATGGAAACGAAATACAATTTTTGATATTTTATCATAAATTAGATGAAGTGCTTTAGGATATTTAACGGTCGGCCTTGATTTATTGTAATGTATGCTATTCTTCGGTATTGTATTATACGCTATAAGTAATAGATTATCTACTATCGTTTATTTCATTTTCATTTGAAATTTGCTTATTAAACTTTTGTTTCATTTTTGGTATATATTTAAGTACCTTTCCTGTATATTGTATCGCGTTGTAATCAAATAAACGGTTGATTAAGTTAACTTCTTATACCAGCCACTGTACTTTCATTTTCTCTCACACTCTTCACAAACATATGTTTGCACTGATTTCTTTTCTCTTACCTAAGGCAAGCAGGCGAGCAGGCAAGCAAGTAAGCAAGTAAGCAAGCAGTCAATTGATAACATTTTTATACAATTAGAAAGATATTAGCTATGAAAAGGGTAGGGAGAATATATTTTGGCCGCTAAGTGTAACAATTTTGTTTCATTTTTTTCTTAAAGAAATTATCGGTTAAATCAATGAATACAAAAAACGTTTACTATCAACTAATCTGTTAAACTAGTAATAAATCGAAAGAATTTTTATTTTACTTACCAACTTTTTTTGGTAGTTTTTTATTGTCTTCAAACCATTTTTGTAAATAATCGATTTTCGCCTCATAGTCGGTATCATCGTTTTCAGCCATGTGTTTGCTTTTATCGTTTAATCTATTAATTTGATTTAGATTAGTTTATTAAGCGCCTGCCCATTTATAATTATATTTAATTTTGTTAATTTGTTGCGTGCTCTCTTTGTGCGTTTTGTTCAAAAATATATTTATTTTTCTTTTAAATTAATTTTTCGTTCCACATCGTTTGATAACTTTAAAGTAACTGAAGTTATTCGCAAACGTTTGCTTAAGAAAAATATTTTTTATGTTTTCTTAACGCGACTTTATGGTTAAATTAACTGCGGGTGTGTGTATGTGGGTGTGTGTGCGTGAACGTATAGAGTTCGTTTTCTTTTTTCGTATTTTCCATACCACACCAGCAGCAGCCAGCTGCAGTGTTTTGTGCATTGAACCTATTGTAGCTGTTGTTAGTATATCGGAGATTCAAGATACAAAGATTGTATCTTAAGCAAAGCTGCACAAAGCTGTCAAATTTTTCTTCGAATCTTTTTAAGTAAAGAACAGCTTAGCTAAACATATACAAAATTATTGACTATACTTAAGTCAATTACTACAGTCCTGGCAACCCTACTTTAGTATTCTTTTGCTAAAATAAACGCAACATTAAAAACTCTTGCGGCTACGTTATCAATTTTGAAATTTTTTTGACTATCTCAATGGATATCAGTGTTATGAGTGAATAGATCGTTTCTTTTCATTCAATTATTACACTTAATCCATTGATAGATTGATAGATTAACGTCGTTCTTATGTATCTCTTGAAGTATTGCCAATAAAGATGGCAGAAAAGGAGGGAAAGGTCTGATGCTGTTTACATTAAATTACAAAAACATAAATTCCAAATTATAGGATGGTATCGGAGTAGAATAAAACAAAAGTGATGATACTGAAGGTGCGTTATTAAAGGAATATCGATAAATTCAACTTAAACCTCTTTGCACCACTGAGGTGCAATATATCAACTGACGATATATCATGTGTCTTAGCAACTTTAATGTTCCTACGGCCCCTCTTTCCAACTCCGTGCTTGGGTTAAAGTTTTAAATCTTATTTGATTCTATGGTTTCTCCACTACTTTATGTAATTCGACGAATTTGAGGGATTGAGCTACGAATTGTTGACAAAGTTAATCGGTAATGTCAGCAACTTAACCTAACCAGCAAGTAGTGCCGGGATCCCAATATTTAGTATAAGCTGAACTGAATTCATCAATCCAAACATTCACTGCCTAGTAATTAACAAGAAACGTTGAAACTGTTTAAACGAATTTATAATTGGATTAGTCCCTGGCCCTGGTTTACCATTCAATTTGTGAGCGCGGTTGCGAAAAATCTAACGATGTCTGCGGGTTCGCCAGAGGATTTCATTAGACGCTCTTTAGTAGAATTTTCGATAAGTCGTTAAAATGACATTTTCGGTCATATAGGATTCCAACTAAAGCAGTTACGAAATACACATGAACGCCTGTTTATAAAACTATTAGGTATTTCGGTATTTAGGTATTTAGGTATTTAGGTTTATCCTTTAAATTGTCAGCGAAAAGTTTTTCAACTTTTTAAAAACTTTTATTTCTAGGACCAATTTCCAAATATCACACGACATGATCCTAAAATTTCTAGAAATTTTATAATTTTTCAGTTTCCGTAATAAAAAAATACAAAGTAGACTTTCTTTCCCTAGAAGGGTTTGCCTATCATAGTAACCCATATATATGTTGGTGATCGAAAAAATAGACCTTTGTGATCGAAATTTCCTATCACTAATTGTTTTGTTAAATTGTTACTGCGGACCAAAAATCATGATTGTATATTGAAAGTGAAATCTTTTTTGTGAATGGCTTGCCATTTATGAGAAATTGTAACGAGGGTCGCCTTCAAGAAATGACATGTTATTCAGGTCTGGTGCACTTAATTTCTATGCGAAATTATTACAATTTTATTATGCAACATTAACGATTAGGTCTTTTTGCCATATAACGGTTTGCATATCCGAAGAATTCGTATATGCTATGGTATTCAAATAATAGACATACGATGTCCAAATTCGATAAAATTGATTTTTGTTTGTTAATTTGACAAGATGACACGATCAACAACAAAATTATGCAAACGTAAATGAAAAGCAAATCACATAAAATAATTGATAGAATGAAGTGAAGTGAAATAATAAGCATTTTCGGCGCCAAAAAATACTTACACATATTATGCGGCACGGAATTACCAAAAATACCAATGAGCTGCAATAAAGCGCAGGCTACGTTACAAATAGATAATGTTCTCGATATTTTTGTTTGATAAAACTTCCCCAAGTGGAACACAGCCCCGAGTAAGACTTTTGACTCATTTTGGAATTTTCTTAACCGTTATTTTCCCGTATAAATGCAACTCTAAACAGGCAGCACTAACGCTGAAAAGCCAATACTAACGCAAAAAACGAGCTATTTAGCTTTCGCCCGATTTGACAGCAATGAGAGGGCGTTTCTTGCATATGTAAAGCAATAAACTCGAAAATAAAACCTGGGTAATGCCATTGGTTATTAGCGCCCTATATTTATCGCTTTTGGCAGAATGACCAACAGTAGAGTTGCCACTTTTTCTTTTTTTTCCGTTATCTATTGATATTTTATAGAAAAATGTGCAACTTTATGGTAATTATTAAATAATATGTTAAGTGCAACCGGAAAAGTCTCTTCACATTTAATTAACAGTAAAAGTATTTACTGCAAAATCCAAATGCTGCCAATGCTTTAATACCATTTATAACGCATTCTGTGAGTGTTCTTAAAAATGATTGAATTGAATTCTAAGAGAAACAGAAAAGTCTTTTTCAATTTATATATGTATAAACTAAAATTTATTAATAACAATTACAATTTCACCAAACAAGCTTTTGCTCTTGTTCGTTGATGACATTTATCAAATCTTAAAAAAGATATTAAAATTTCTTTTAACAATATACCATACATATTTAAGGTTACTAATACTATAGAAATTTTCATGCACAAAAATGTTAACATTTGTTTACAGGGAGTTTTATTTTATTTTTCACTTATTCTTAATGATTCCTTATCATATTTTCGTAACATTTAAAATTGCTGACGCGTAAGCATTAAGCATTTGGTGCGCGTACGTGGAGCATCGTTTTCTGCATGCATGGATATATGGATGCGGTGGATTCATGGATGCATGGATGCATGGATGATGGATTAGAAAGAGATTCCTAGTTCCATTTTATAATAGAACGTCTTTCGACTCTTCTCTTCTAGAAGCTGTTCCGTTTCATTTTCGCTACATTTTAAAAATGTTTATTAACTGAATTGCTTTTATACCTATCACAGCTAATATATTGGTATATACGATTTATATAGATCCGCCTGTCTATCTGCCGATTGCAATTACATTTACGATCTCGAAGCCCGTTCTGAGAGAAACATTATTTAGTCTTGTTCACGTAGCCGTCTTACTTGTATGTCCCCGTCTGTCCATATACGCGTATTTGTATATCTTATTATATCGGTCGCGAATTTCCTAATAAATTTTTCGGGGCCACGAAGACGGTCGCGGCATAAGCTGCGTACAAGTCTTTTCCTGTTTTAGCCACCGCAAATTTTAGGTTAAAGTTTATACCCGCCAAACTCAATCAATCGCTTAATGAACAATATTTCTTTCTTATCATACTCAAGCTTTGTATGATAATCAAACTGTCTGATCCTCTATTCTCGTTAAAGGCGATTGATGCAGGTTGATGCATTATCTTATATAATCAGATTGAAAAAGTCAGTGCTACAACATAAAGCATAGAGGTAGGCAATCATCACACTGAAAGATGAATGTGCAACGTTAGCAGCTTTTTGTTTACGGTAATCATTCTTTACACTTATCTGCGTTGCTCTTGTTTCAGAAATGCATTTTATTCAATTTACTGCCGGGCAAAAATGGTTCACAGTGTTTGGCAGAGTTATGATATATGTATAATTGAATTCCTTGAAATATATGAGGGCTTTGAAATCGTTTTTACACTGGCCGTTTGTAATGGGATTTGCATTTTGATCGTGTAAACAACATTTGGAAATTCTCAGTTGGTCAGATTTTATATTATTAAGTGTATTTGCCACACGGGTCGTGCGTATAACGCTGCGTCGCAACACATACGATTTATTCCCGAATCTTTTCGCACAAAACTGTATGTTGCTCACTGTACCGTACTGTACTCACTGTACTGTATGTACATCAAGGAGTTACAAACGGATTAGCTTTGGGTGGATAGGGTTAATTTGATAATGTCAACTATTATAAACCATAGGGGGTGATACGAGAGACTTCCATTAGTATCTGAATTGATTTCCATCCTTTCTTATATCATTCCATCTCTCTTTGCTTCAGAATTCCAAAGAATCTGCGTCCAAGTACAAGCAAGTAAACTTTGCTTCCTGGCCAATGATAAATGTCATCAATAGATATCTGTGTTGGGAGACGAGAACAAAAAAAAAAAAGCCTTTAAAGACTTGAACAAGAAATCGCAAAGAATAGTGGATGACAGGCCATGTCGTGGCTTGGAAGATGTATGGTTTTCAAACCTTTAAAGATGTCATTCGTTCACTTCATTGGCGATAAAACAAAAATCTTTAGTATTGTAATATAGAGTCCGCCTCTTAAAGCACCGACAAGAAACTCTATTGCCCCAATATATGCTTCCAAGTTGACTTTCAATGTTTGGCAAAAGCAGGAAACTGCTTGTGGAGTCTATTAAATTAACCAATGGTGCGACAATTGCTTCTACAGGTGAACTGAAGATTGGAAGTTTTAAGCTGATTTCTGAGATATCGAGAGATGTCTCTTTGAGAATTTCACGTGGACTCTGGCCGTAAAATCACTTGTCATGAGAATACGTCACACCTGACACCCTATGGCTCTTAACCTCCGAGGAACAAATCGAGGCACATGTTCTCCATGCAAACAATCAGTTTTGTCGGTGTTCCATGAATTAAGCGATTTTTAATTTTTATGTTGCTTTTTTCGGTAAGTGCTATCTTCGAGTTACTTTGGCATAAGTTTATTTTTATCGAAAAATGAATTTTAAGTTTGAGAGCAATGAGAGCATTTCACCTTCTGAGACTTGTGTAACGTATATTTACATACACTATTAGTCATTACATGAATACTTCAAGTACATCTCACATAACGGACATGAGCTGTTACCAACTGCTTTGGGGGCACCCGGTGTTCGTGTCGCCAAAAATTGCGGACTTTTGTGGAACTTTCGCAGGCAAGTTA